GCCATTCTGCCAACCCCATGGTAAGTACTTGTAAAAATGTGTAATGTGGGTTATGACCAATTATAAGCTACTTCTAATTGTAATTATGACTCAATCGAAATCTTTGACATTTAGAACTGTGTGTTCATAGGACATATAAAACCTATAAATGACTTATTGCAGAAAAGAATGAAAGGAAAAAATAATAGAATACATTCAAGAATAAAATTTGCTACAAGAAAATGTGGGGGGGGAAGAAGAATGAAAATAAAAGGAAGAATGCAAAGTTGCTGTGAAATGGGTGATGATAAACAATTTCTACAGGATTTAGACTTTGTCAAATGCATTTTAAGTGACATAATCCTTTTAAATTTTAAACTACTGTTTGTATTATACCAAAAATTGTATCTTTTTCAACTAAGGGCAAAGAAAGTTCATGTTGACTTGAAAATTATTTTAGAAGGTGAAAAAATGTGAAGAACTTTGCCCAACTTCTCCATTTTATCCACTGAGAGCAACCTGGGATATGACTGTGGCCTTGGGGGGGAAGTCAGCAGTCAATTAGGGCAGTCTTGCTTCCAATTCTCCAATGTTAACTTCACTCCTTCTTTGTAGGGTCTCTGGGGCCACTGGTAAACTGCAAATATTGTCCCCAGAAAGCTCTTACTGGGTCAGAACAACTCCTCCATTAAGTCAGCCTGCACCCAAGGCTGTAACTCAAAACCTGCTCTATTGCCATTTCAAATTATGTCAGCTTGTCCCACGTTATCAGATGCAAAAGGAGGATCCTATACTTTAATAGCTAAGAGCCAAAAAGATGTTCCCAATTTAATTTTGCTCCTTTCTCAGTATGAATTTTCCAGGGAGAAATTAAATTGCTTTGTTTTTCTAAATTATAGCCCAAAGTAGTATGTGCCAACTTCATGTTAAAGTCCAAAATAATTAATGTCCAACACTGAACTCTCTTACCTTTGTGAATTAAAGTTCAAACAACAGGTTTTGTCACTCTCTGGCAGTGAACTTAGCTCCCTAAACCAGACACTTCCCCTCCCCCAGGAAGCCTATCTTAGTAAGGTCACCTGAGTGTCCCTTGGCAGTGGCAGGCCCCTGTAAAGTTTATCATATGAGGCAGCAAAGGAGGAAACACTCTTTCCTGCCTCCCAAGAGAAAGGAAAGAGGAAGATGGGCTACACCCAGGCCAAACTTGCACATCAGTAACTCACTGGCAGCCCTGGAATAGTTTTGTATTGGTGGTACCTCCTCCATAGTCCAAGAAATATTTAATATGGAAAAGAAGTCTTTTTCCCTAAGAGTTACAAGAAAATGCTCTCTTGCTTAGGAAATATTTATTGAATATTGGATTTCTGAGCTTGGCTCACTAGGAGATTCATAAGTGAGTTAGAGGTTGATGCTGCCTAACAACCACTAATATTTATAACGTTATATACATCAATGCCTCATATTTTAGATTTTTGTTATAGCAAAAATCTGGTACCAATTTTTATATTAATCCAGAAAAACTGGTATCAAACACCACTGAAATATCTCAGTGACTTGGAATAGTAGAGATGTATTTTTCACTCGTATGACTATGTGTTAACCGGCAGCTCTTGTCCACTTTTTCCTGCCTACCTCTGGTGATCTGACCATCTGAAAAAGCCATTTGAAACATCGTTGGAGTGGCAGTTAAAAATGGCCACAAATTCTCTGTCACCCTTTCCCCAACTTCCATCAAGAGTTTATTTCCCTTCACTTTAAAAGTGAGCTGACTGTTTTTACCCATTTCCAGGCCTGAGACTTTACAAAGACCTGGAAGATTTTGCCTTTATGCTTTTGAGAATCCTAAGCCAGCATGTAAGAAGTCAGGCTACTCCGCTGGAAAAGCTACATGGAGAGGCTCTAGGAAACCAGCTCAGTCATGTAGGCAGGTGAGTCTCCCACTTAATTCCAGCCCAGACCATACCTGGCTGGAACAACATGAGAGACCACAAAGCAAAATTAGACAACTGCCCATGAGCAGAAAATAAAATGAATGGTGACTGTCTTCAACCACTATGATTCAAATGTGTTTGTCATTGGGCAACAGATAATTAAAACATTCTGACACTACAGTAAAAGGAAAGAAAGCATGACAAACATGTACTGGCTCTTTAGGGTGAATTTGGCAAGTGACACAAGTAACTTCCAAGCACATTTCTCTGGCCATGAGTAAGGTGAAAGGAGGGGGAAATTCAAGTCTATTGCACATGAGAGAAAGGAAATGGAAAAGGTGGCCAGTGCTACTACTTCCTGGAAAGAACTCAGGACTAGAGAGGTCGTCCTCCATAGAGAGGACAGGTAAACACAAAGTAGATGCAATGCCAAGGAAAGAAAGGTAACAGTAAGAGAAAAGAACGTAGAAGACAGATGCTTGTAGATGGCCTGTAGGCAAGGGGGGAAGAAGAGTACATCAACAGAGGCAAACAGAGAAATCTTGGAATCTGAAGAAGAGTTTCAATAATGGAATAGTCAAGAATAAAAGGCCAGAATGCGAGGTACAGGTAAGGAATCACAGACATTCAAAGACAGAGCAGTGTAAGCTAATGTAGTCACAGGCCTCAGATGGAAGGAAAATTAGAGAAGGAAAGGAAAAATAACAGAATGTAGATGAGTGGAAATGAGAGAGGGGTACTCTCAGTGAGGAAGTAGTGGGGAATGAACACAGTGAGTGGGAGGCATGGAACTAGGTAGTGAAGGGAAACAATCACTGTGAAGAGTGGTGCCTGATTCACTTGCAGAGGGAGGGAAGGCAGGGAGGCCATTGATGGATTTGTGGAGGTCCCTGAATATAAACAGCTTTGAGTTGTCTCCTTTCAATTGTTGAGCTCATGCCTATAATCCCAACTACTCCAGAAATGGGTTTCAAGAGGATCTAGGTTCAAGGCAAGTCAACACCCATCTCAACCAATAAGCCAGGTGTGGTGGCATGCCTGCCTGTAATCTCAGCTATTCAGGAGGCTGGAGAAGCAGTATCACTGGTCAAGGCTAGCCCCTGCCAAAAAAAGCCCAAGAGAGCTTATTTTAAAAACAACTAAAGCAAAAAAGAGCTTGGGATGTGAGTCAAGTGGTAGAGCGCCTACCTGGCAAGCCCAAGGCCTTGAGTTCAAACCCCAGTACCACCAAAAGAATAATTGCTAAGCTCCCCTTGAGATTGATGTCTGATCAGAAGCAACTGGGATTACAGGACTAGTCCCTTCATGTGGGAATGAAGTAGGGAAAGAAAACCAAAACCAAGACACTCCTTGGAAAGCTATTGCAGTATTTAAGCAGGGGGATCCTATTGGGAGGGATTACTGTCTCAGGCAAAAAAGGAAGAACTCCCTTTTAGACCAGTTCAGAAAGCTTACTACGAGGATAAGCTGCTTAGAGCACTCAAAGGGGGGATGGAGCTTCAAGTGCAAAGAAGTCAAGACATTTATCTTATCAAGGGTACAGAATTTTTTACTTCACATGGCAGCAGACATGGTGGTTAACTACCCACCATTCCCCACCCCCACCTCACCCCACCCCACTTCCCTGGCAATAGAACTTCAAAGCTGCTCAATTCCTTTCACTTAAACCAATCAGGAGCAACAAACAATTCTGCTCCAAGGTTAGGCCTGATAGGCTTAAGCCAGTGATCCTCAACCAGTACTGCCCTTCTGGGAGAATCTGTTCTCTGGAGAGGAAGAGGGGTTTGGGCACCACAATGCCTGGGGTGACATCAATATGTAGTGACAGGGATGCTTACTGCCCAACTCACATAAGGACTCCCAAAAGTCAGGTAACAGAATAATCAAGGTGCTCCCATCTCCTGTCAGTTATTGCCTTAAGGACAGCTAGTGACCCACTTCTGGACAATAAGGTACGAGCTGCCTGCTATGAAGCCTCTGGGGTTGAGAGGGGACCTTATGGGCCACGGCACCTAAAATACTCAAGCCCTTTACAAACACTAGTGTGCCTTCTTGCTAACAGCCCGTTTCCCGTTCATTCCCGGGCAGGCCTTCACACGCCTGGCTGCTGTTGTCCTCTGTCGTCCCCCAGGCACCCTGGCCCTAAGGACATCCTCAACCCCGACCACTGAGCTCCCTGACGCGTCCTCGGCCGCCCCTGCCCTCCACCCCAAGTCACAGAGGCACGGTCACACCCTGGACCCGGGGCTGGCGACACAAAGACGACAGGCGGGGGCGGGAGGCTCTGGGGTGGCGTCGCTGGGATTTCAGGGACTGAAGCCACCGGCGTCCCGGTGCACAAATCAGACGCTGTAAACCGAGCGGGTGAGCGCACACAAGGGCCGCGGAAGCTCTGATTCAAAGGCAGGGCGAGCCCCTGTCTGAGCTCTGAAATCTCCAAGGGCGGCCTTGGCCAAGGTCACCGAGGGCGCCCGCGAAGACCCCAATGCCGGCTTCGTCCCCCCAGCGCCAAGAGGCCGGGGCCGGGAGCCGAGCAGCTCCAAGCCGCCCGCGCCGCTGGAACGGCGCCGCCGCGTCCCGCCAGGCCCGCCACCGCCACCGCCATCGTCACCGCCTCGGCGCAAGTGACTCCCGAGCCGAGCGAAAGAGCGGCGAGGCGGGAGCTCGCGGACCCAGACCCAGGGTTGGGCGGGGAAGCGATTCCGGGGCGCACGCGCGCAGCAGGGACACGGGGCGGAGCGTCTCCCGAAGAGGCTGCGGAGCCGAAGAGAGCGCGTGGCGCTCCTGGAGCCGCGCACGCGCGGTCATCTCGCTCCGCCCATGCGGACGCGCGCGCGCGCGCGAGGCCGGCGCGGCATCTTTTCTTCAAACCCGCCCCCTCCCGTACTTCACCCAGCCGAGGCGCGGAGAGAGAGCCGGGAAGTGTGGGGCGAGATAGGCGGGGCATCACGCGCGACCAGACCAGCTAGGGGAGAGAGATGGAATACAACGTTACCTCGCCAACATCCAATCAGGAGCCGGCCTGGCCCCGCCTCCTCCCCTCACGTTATTGGCTGGGAAGGCCCAGGTGGGCGGGGCCAGCCGTGGGGTTGGGGAGGGCAGGGGGCGGGGAGCAGGAGGAAGGCGCTGGCGGGCAGTGATGGCGGCCGGGGATGGGGACGTGAAGTCAGGCACCCTGGGGAGTGGCAGCGAGAGCAGTAGCGACGGCAGCAGCGGGAGTCCCAGCGGCGCGACAACGGAAGGGGGCGGCTGGGCGGCGGCGGCGTTGGCGCTTCTGACGGGGGGCGGGGAGATGCTGCTAAACGTGGCGCTGGTGGCGCTGGTGCTGCTGGGGGCCTACCGGCTGTGGGTGCGCTGGGGGCGGCGGGGTCTGGGCGCCGGGGCCGGGGCGGGCGAGGAGAGCCCGGCCGCCGCTCTGCCCCGCATGAAGAAGCGGGACTTCAGCTTGGAGCAGCTGCGCCAGTTCGACGGGTCCCGCACGCCGCGCATCCTGCTCGCGGTCAATGGGAAAGTCTTCGACGTGACCAAAGGCAGCAAGTTCTACGGCCCAGGTGAGACGCGATGGCGGGAGGGAGGGGGAGGGGACCCCGAGCGCGACCCCTCGACCGGGAGGGCGCCCCTGCGCCCCAGAGCCGGGTCGGGCTGGCCCGCGCCCTCCAGGCCGTGTCCCGTCGCTCCCGCAGCCCCTTCTGGGCTGAACCGCGGAAAACGCTAGGATCCGCCGGTCGCGCCGGCCCTCGCCCTTCCTGAGCTTGTGGTTAAAGGAAGGGGGGCGGGCAGGTGTCCAAAGTGGGGACCCAAAGTTTTAGGCCGTGTAGTCAGTCCACAGCTTGCTTTTCGTCAACCTCTGCCTCCTCCTCCCCGAGGGGCACATCAGGGACAGGAGCCCCCAGGGTGAGGTCCGGACTCATCCTAAACCAGTTTGGGCTCGGGGATGCTTCCAGGGTTAAGGCGTCTTTGAGATGGGACGGCCCGGGACGCTGGTCTCTCGGACGGGCGAGGGTGTCGCCCGGTGTGGGGCGGAGCTCACGCGAGCAGGCGGGTCTGTCCGGCCGCTTTTATTTTTTTCCTCTCCCTCCCTCTCTTTTTATGCTGTTACGAAGGCGAGTATTCAAATGCACGTTGATCAAATACACGTTAGCAGACTTACAGCAGAAAGAGCTAGAAAGTCAGAACCCCCCCCCCCCCAGTGCACCCGTTCTGCAAGATTTGTAGAACTTTGCTTTCAAAGAACCGTGTGCGGGGCAGTTGACTTAAAGCCCTTCTTTTACAGCGTAGTTGTAACGTACGTTTCAGACTCTGCAAGAAATTCGTGTGAACCGGCTGGTATCCCATGGAATTTAGCGCGTTTGTGCATCCTGGTTGGCCCTGGGCTGTTTTTTAAAAAGGGAGACTGTTCAGTAAGATAAGTAACGAAGTGAGAGACTGGAAGGAGTGCGTCCCACCCTTAGAGCCAAGGGGCTTGACAGTCTTGGTTGATGCTTGTGAAAGAGAGCTCTGATTTCACTGCTTGGTGGCTGTGTGATGTTTCAGAACTGGTTTGGTTTGTTGTTTGTTAATTAGAATACAGATAAGAAATTGAAGATTTTTGACATCAGCCTATTTAATTTCTTTGATGTTCGTATATGTACATTCAGTCCAACCAAGTTATAGATTACTTATAAGTATCTGTTCCTGATTATATAAATAGAAATACCAGATGTCTCCCTGCTGTCATCAGCTGAAATGGTTAATACTTTTTTATTGACTTTCAGAGCATGTTGGAGCAGAGAATAGGGCCAAGTACAGTATTTAAACAAAACAAAAATTTTATACACACACACATATATCTATATCTATGTCTACTATATACTATATATCTACTATAGATATAGACTGGGGTTGGAACTCAGGGCTTGGTGCTTGCAAAGCAGGCATGCTCTACAGCTTAAGCCACATAGCTGGCCTTAAATAAAATTTTTAAATTAACAATTTACACAGTGTTTTTCTCCATAGATATTAAAATGTGTTCAGTGATTAGAAACTGTCTACAGGTTTAAATTTTACTTAATACTGGAGTTTGAACTCAGGGCATTCACCTTGCTAGGCAGGTGCTCTACCACTTGAGCCACCCCTCCAGCCCTACAGGTTTAAATTTTTAATGTAGAACGTAACTAAAAGATCTGTCTTTGTGCCTTCTGTCTAAACTGACAATGAAGCAAATTCTTAGTACAAAGAATCATCTTTGTCCTCCCACTTAGCCAGGGTAGAGTCAGTAGATATTTTGCAGCCTCCAGTGGTAGATGTTCTTGGCAGAAATTAAAAATTAAGAGTAATAGATGAAATGCAGATTGCTTCTGTGTGGCTTGAGCTGGAGGAGGGGGCTCAGATAAGAATGGAGAAGTCAGTGGTTGGCGAAGTGATTCAAGTGGTAGAGGGCCTGCCTAGCAAGCCTGAGACCTTGAGTTTAAACCCCAGTGCACTAAAAAAGAGAGAGAAGTCACTTTTAGGTTAGCTTCCCACCAGTTCCCAGGTTCTGATGAGTGATTATTTTATTCTAGGTGTTTTGATCAACAACCTAGTAGAGACATTTGGAATATTTTATCATTGAAAGTTATAGTAGATTTTGAAGACTTAAAAGGTAGCCAGAACATTTTATGATCTTAGATGAATGGCATGTTCAAAAAGTCTTGAAAAGAAGCCAAATTTCTGGCTACAAAATAATTACAAGTTAGGCTTTGCTTTCAGTTTTCATCCTGAAATAAGTAATTTTGTAGCATTACAATTCAACAGCAATAAAGCCTTTTCTGAGAATTTTAGTAACTTGAAAGACTGGGCTAAGAGAGCTAGAAAACTTTGTTTCTATGCCTAGTCAATATCTACTTCTGTTTTGCAATGATAGTTTTAGGATTAAAGATTGTTTTGTGAGTTTTTTTCCATAATGTTGGATATTTTCTTTTAGTCATACATTTTCAAAGTTCAGCTTGTTAAAAATTAAAATTTAATAGTCACATATAGTTGTTGCCAACGGTCTACCAACATGTGTTAACTACATTTGTCAATATTAAATTTAGTAACAGGTCAGGCATTTGGCTAGCATGTGAGGAAAGTATGATCATGTAAGAAACAATGAATATGGGAGGAGAAAGGAAGCACCTACTGTCAGCGCCATTAATTTGTTATCTCCATGATCCCTTGCCCTACAGGTGAATCTGAGGTTTAGATAACTCGGTTGGGTCCCTCTCACATAAGCTGATAAATCTAGATGTTTGATTACAAAGCTTTCCTACACTGTCAAGTGAACACTATTCTGGGACAAACCTGTAGAGAATCTTACTATTGTTTTTCTATCCTTTCATGGCTTGTGTCCAGTATGATACCTGCAATCCACAAATGATTAATTAAGCTTAATATGATTAAAAAGTGAATTCCTCAGTAACAACTAGCCACATCGAAGTGCTCACCCACACAGCTACCACATCAGACAGTGCGTTCGGCGTCCTGTGTTTTCATCTTTCCAGAGAGTTCTGTTGAGCATGGCTGAACCGTCTCTTGAGCTTATCCCACTTAGTTTTCAAGCAGCACTATGTGTAAGTTAGGTTCCCATTTTACGTCTGTGAAAACAAACTCAGAGAGGTTTTGCCCAAAGGCACATATCTAGTAAGTAGCAGAACTAGAAAACAAATCCAGGTCTTAGTGGCTTCACAGGCCAGCTCTTCTCACTGTCACCTCTTCTGTCCTATTTCACATGCTTAGGGTCAGTAGATTTTGAAGACTCAGATAGTATAATCTTTAATGATTTTTATTTAGTATTACTGCAACAGAACTTTACTAATACAGTGTTTTATTCTTTGGAACGGGAGTAAGTCATACATTCTTCTAACATATACCAAGCCATATCCAACTTTTAAATTCCATTGGAAAAAAAAATCACAGAAGTACCCTGTGAGTCAGGCACTGGTGGCTCACGCCTATAATCCTAGCTATTCAGGATGCAGAGATCAGGAGAATCAAGGTTTGAAGCCAGCCCAGGCAAAACAGTTCTTGAGACCCTGTCTCAAAAAAAACCATCACAAAAAAAGGGCAGGTGGAGTATCTCAAGGTGAAAGCCCTGATTTCACAAAAAATAATCACAACAAAAGGCAGGCAGAGTGGCTCAAGTGGTAGAGTATCTGACTAGCATTCATGAGTCTCCCTGAGTTCAAACTCCCAAACTGCCAAAAAGCCCAAAAAAAGTACCCATGAAATGCCTAATTTTTAGGAGGTTGAGGAAAGGAGCACATGTACATTAGTAGCTTTGCCTCCTTTCAAAATTGTGTCTTCAGTATGTTCATTTGAGTGCTTTCGTTTACATAATTGCAGCTAAAGTGAGGATTGGCAACACAAAGACAACCTGTGTTGCTTCCTGGGCATCAAAGTTGTCTTTACAGCTGGTCGTCCAGTTCCCAGCATTGAAGCCCACTAGGTCTGTGGGTGGGGCTGATGGCCATGCACATCAATTACCTGCCAATAAGATAAAAGGATTTTAGAAGAATTATGATACTCTGCTTGAATTTCTACTAGTTCTTTCTACCTACTTGACCTTTCTGAGTTCAGTATCATCCCATTGTTTTTACTCTTTCAGAAAATTGTATAAATACTAAAGCAAATTACAAAAAGGATAAAGGATAATAAGGTTAAAGCAAGTATTGAGACCAGAAGATGTTATTCAGGGTTGAAGAGAGGAGTCAAGAGTTGGTAGCATCATCTGGAATTAGCCACTCAAATTCTTGTATTGTTCTTTCAACAATCTGAGACATAGATCCTGATGGCACCTTGTAATCTTTAGAACATAGATCCTGTCTCAGGTTTTGGGGGTTTTTTTACTCCCTTTTTGGCAATATTGGAATTTGAACTCAGGGCCTGATGCTTAGGCAAACACTCTACCACTTGAGCCACCAGTGCCCGGCTTGATGGATTCTCTTTCTGGGGTTCAAACCCAGAGTCTCAAGAATACTAGGCAAACATTCTTCTACTGACCTACTTCACCAGGCCTAGATTGTATTTTAATAGACAAAACTGCCATGACCACAGTGGATGGAATCCCCTGGAGTTATGTAACACATAGGCCTGTGTCAGAAAGGTTGACCTTAGCAGGGTGTAATGGCTCTGCTTGTAAGTGATCCCAGGGCTAGAAAGGCTAAGGCAGAAGGAACTCAAGCTCAGGACAGCCTGGGCTGTGTAGCAAAATGCTATTAAAAAGAGAAAAGCCTTGACTGACCTTGCTCCCTTCCCTATCCTGTTTTGCATGGTATCACTGCTAGATTCTTAGTTCTGTTGCATCCTAAAATTGGTTAATCTTTTTAATACTGCCTTTGTATTTACCAGTATAATTGCCTTTTTAAAATTTTCTTTCTTTCATAGAGTTCAGTCTTTATTGTAGTGAGATCTGTTCCTGTTCATTGGTAGAAAAACTGTTTTGTCTCTATCTGTCCCCAGAAATAATAGTTTGGGTAGGGTATACAATTATAGATTGTTACTTTACCTCAGCTGTTTGGTAGTTTGCATCATTGCCTCTGCTTGTTGACAAGAA